AAGGTGCTGAGCGAAGAAGGAAGGATTCTGCTTGACTGACTGAAATCCCATTACAGGTTTTTTTGTTTTGTTTTGTTTACTGTTTTTGATACTTATGGATCAAGAAATACCTGTGGAGGTGGACTGCTTAAAAAAGGAAAAAAAAAAGAAGAAACAAAGAGAGGAAGGGAGGAAGAAAGAGAGAAAGAAAGAGAGAAAGAGAGAGAGAGAAAGCAAGAAAGAAAGCAAAAAAGCAAGAAAGCAAGCAAGAAAGAAAGGAAGAAAGAAAGAAAGAGAGAAAGAGAAAGAAAGAGAGAAAGAGAAAGAAAGAGAGAAAGAGAAAGAGAGAGGAAGAAACAAAGAGAGGAAGAGAGAAAGAAAGAGAGAAAGAGAAAGAGAGAGGAAGAAACAAAGAGAGGAAGAGAGAAAGAAAGAGAGAAAGAGAAAGAGAGAGGAAGAAACAAAGAGAGGAAGAGAGAAAGAAAGAGAGAAAGAGAAAGAGAGAGGAAGAAACAAAGAGAGGAAGAGAGAAAGAAAGAGAGAAAGAGAAAGAGAGAGGAAGAAACAAAGAGAGGAAGAGAGAAAGAAAGAGAGAAAGAGAAAGAGAGAGGAAGAAACAAAGAGAGGAAGAGAGAAAGAAAGAGAGAAAGAGAAAGAGAGAGGAAGAAACAAAGAGAGGAAGAGAGAAAGAAAGAGAGAAAGAGAAAGAGAGAGGAAGAAACAAAGAGAGGAAGAGAGAAAGAAAGAGAGAAAGAGAAAAGAGAGAGGAAGGAAGGAAGGAAGGAAGGGGCCTTTGAAGATGGCTAGAACAATGGTTACATACTGTAGTGCTCAGGAAGAACTCTAACCAGGTAACTGTCACTCTTTCTAACACACTCAGACTGGGAATATATCTTTCAACATCAGCAAATGTTAAAAGCACCAATATAAGAAAAACAGGGATTTCACCGAAGGCAGACGGATGTACGGAGAGCCTTTACACACTGCAGTGTGTACCTTGTTCTACAGCTTAAAAAGTAACACCAACGTTTTAGATCTTGACACTAAAAAAATGTATAAGATTTACAGTCTCCTTTCTCAGAAAATCATTCCAGTGCAGCATTTCCAGAACTATCTGGCATCTGGCCATTTGGAGTGTGAACCAATCAAGGTCGTCCTTCTTAGGTATATGGTGAGATTTGGTGAAAAAAAGTGGATAAGCATTTTTCCCTAGGTCTTGAAGGGAAGTCATCATAAATCCATGGGGCAACATGAGGTGCAGGACTACAAGACTCATTAGAACTATAAAATTATTTAAGACAGCTATCTGCATTATTTGGCAGGATGAATCCAGTTCCAGAAATACAATTTCCTATCAACTAAAGGCTCATATGTCACTGCTGTTACAACCGATGAATGAGCAAAGCACCAGATGGATAATTTGGAGTTTGTTGTGTGTTGGTGTTAAAAAGGCCTAAAGAAGAATAGGACAGATAAGAACTATCTAGTAAAAATAAATTTCTCTTTTAGCTTTACATTTCATCTCTCCTGTGAAGATAGTTTTGGATTCCTCCTGCTGCATTTTCAGGCATTTTTCTGACCCAATATACAAATAAGATTTGGTGAGGGAGGAAAGGAATATCCAAAGGGAAAAAATTTCATCAGAGCATTTCATTTGATCTATATCCATACTTGTTGATTAGAAAGCTGCACTAAGATTGTGTGGAGAATTCTAGTTCCACATTACTGCTAGATTTGCAGACTGAATAAACTGAATGGTAGTTTTTGCATATTTGGATTTGCATAATTGGAATAAGGTTTTTTTTTCTGATAATTTTTCCTATAGAAACTGCTAACAAGAAGGAGTTCTCAGGATGTCAACAGCATAAAAAGACATATATTCTGAATTAAACAGAATTCAAACAGAATTCAGAAAACTGAATTAAACCAAACAATATTTTATATATTCCTAATTGACTTGAAAATGCTGTCTTTAAGCAGGAAAACACTGTTCCTCAGTTCTTGACTGAAGTGAACTGAAGAGATAAGTTTGACTTTACAACTACTTGATGGTGAAAAATGGATTATTGTGCAAGAAAATAAGGTTTAAAAAAAAGCATAATCTTTTATGTAATTTCAACAAGGAAAGAAGCTAATGAGAAGATAATTGATTTTGTGAATCTACAATCATACACAAATCAGTCTGGATATACTCATCCCAATGAGCCACTTATATTTAACTTTTCTTCCATTCCCTTCTCTTTCTTGGAAAGATGAAAACAACTATGAAACTATAAATAAAGAAGTAGCCAAGAAAATGCAAGTTTTGAATATAATGTTACCTTACAATAAAGTATTCTAAAATGCTAAAAAGTGGTTCCCACATTTCTGATGGGACTCTGCAGTGCAATTTTTTTACTATTTATTTTTTTTCAGTTCACAAAGGAATAAAAAGAATAGCTGGACACTAATGAGGATATTCCTTAATACTACAGAATGATCTGGCGTATAGATCTGTGTCTAGAATAACAGTGCTTTGAATGATGAAGAGCCTGGAAAGGTTATCTTCCCTGATTGCTACACAGAGCAATGTAGCAGAGAAAGTAAGCCAAAAGCAACTAAGAATAACTAGAGTAGTGCTTTCTGGAACCTGGCAATTGAAAACAGCTCACCTTGCATACAAATCAATTTGTTGTACTTTACTCCAAAGTAGAAATACTTCAAAGTAGAATGTATCCTCTGTTGCCATTAAAAGAAAAGAAGCAAGGATATGCTGTACATTCTGTTTTGGTCAGAGGCATCGAGAGTAGAGTATTATGCTTCCAGTGTGTTTATGACAGTACTCAAGAAATAGACGCAAAATAAACATGCTTATTGGAATCAGTCTTCCAAAAATGGATCTAACAGTACTGTGTGCTTCAAACTGTAGTGGGTAGCTGCGAGTAGAAGTTTGAGAACAGCATGTGCACATGATCTAAAAATTGAATATTGCAGTTCCACACTTATGCCCAGTATGTTCTCTGAGGTATGTCATTGCTAAACAAATATCACTTTATTTATACAAGATCTAATGGTAGAAGTAACCTTCTTATGCCTCATCTGTTTAAATTCTTGCAGCAAAACTAACTGTGCAGAGGGTTTGCAGGATCACTCCCCTAAAGGATAACTGGTTCCAATCTTTTGTATAGGCTTCAAATATTACTACTATTTTTAAAACATATGGCTGAAAGTGGCCACTAGAGCTGACTAATTCATAATTTCAGTCCAGGAGTTTTGTAGGTTTACAGAGCAATTTGTTACTAAGCAAAAGCTTCAATATGTATTTTGAAATCAGAAGTCAGTTCACAAGTCAGATTGGGCAGCTTTTGCTAAAGATAAGGTTTTGTTCCTACCCCAGAATACTAGACTTCTTCTCTGTGCTTCTATTTTAAATTTTATCAGTCCTTGGAGAAGTGGTTCTCCTCCCCCATCCAAACCCAGCTTTCTTTCTCGGGTACTTCAGCCAATTAAAAAATAGAAGAAAATATTCTGAAAAAGTACAGCTACCTTTTGTGTTAGCATTTTTTTTTCTGTTGAAAATATTCTGGAAGCACAGAGAAACAGCAATGACAGACAGTGATGTTTCAAAGAACATGGCTACATTACTGTTCCTTTAAAATCACCATTGCATTAGTCTTTGCATGTTTGCAGGATTTTCTTTCTGAGGATAAAAATAATTGCTCCTCAATCACAACTACTATTCATTTTTCTCAAACACTGCGTGGAAGAGACATGCATTTTCATTTAGGTAATAAAAACATGATCGGGTCTTCCAGACAGAAAATAAAGCAGAATTTAGCTTTTATGTGTGCTTTACATTTTATCATTTGTAACTATTTGTCATCCAAGAATGAAAAGCCATTACTTTTTAGTTTTGAGTCTGATTTGTTCGCTTAATAACAATACTTGAGGGAATATGTAAAAAAAAAAAAAAAAAGTAATATATTTTAATATATTTTAACACTGTAACACTAAGTTTTGCAAAATTAGTAGTTTAAGAATTTACTGGTAGTGTTTTTGAAAAACACAAAATGGCTTTCTAGATTAAACTGTAGTTGCTGGTTCAGGAAAAAAAAATCAAAACAATCTTTTTTGATATTGAGGAATTATTCCATGTTTAATCCAATGCAGACAATTGAGTTCCTGCAATGCAATATTTAAGTCAAAAGTGTCCAGCCTACACCTCAGAGCCATGGACCATCTGCCATGAATAAGGACTGCAATATTTATGGAAGGAATAAAAATGGACTTTGGCACACTCTTTTTTAATTTTGTAAAATAATTTAGAAATAAAAAGTAAGAATGCATGAGTGCACTTTTCAGTAAACTGAAATCTGAAGAAACTCAATTCCTAGTGCTATTGTATAGTGAATCTGCTCTATCAGCTATGGTCTGCTACAATTACACAAACAAGCAGGAATCATGTCCTGCTTCAAGTAGAATACTTTAGAAATCAATGACCATTCTCTGTTTAACCACTCTTAAAAAAAAGAAAAAAGACAGTTAAAGGCTTGAAAAGCTGTAGAAGTTATATCCACAGCTACTTCAGAGATAGGCAAATCTTCATATCAAAAATTAGCATTCTTCTAACTTAGCCTTTTCACCTCAAATTAAAACCAACATTTGTAGGTAAATTGGTAATTCCATAAATCTCAGACCTTTACAGTAACTCTCATGTCTCAGTCCCACTAGAGGCATTTTTTATGTCTTTTAATGGTTTCCCCATTGCAAGGAGATTACCAAGAAAAGAAGTCCCAGAAACTGAGAGTCACATCTCAAGTAAGTTTAAATACAAATGGTGGGTTTTGGCTAATTCGTCAATGCCTGTGTATGTTGCTCTGAGCCTCAGGGAAAGTATGGAAATGAAGAACAAAAATTACATATTTAACTTTTGCCTGAATGTGGATAGCTTCTACGTCAGGGGAGAAAAGTAGTAAAGATTCTAATATACAAGAATTATTCATAAGCGATCGCTTATACTACAAATTCAGCTCAATTTTCCTTAAAATGAATAGCAGTAAGGAGAGAATTCTTCCATGTTTTTCTTTTTCAGGCAATTACATATTAAAATTCTTCATCAGTTTCTCTGATGATGAAGGTTAACATAGCTTCTATAATTTGAGATGAAACTGACCATGTTCTTCAATCTTTCTGCACTTTCACCATCCCTAAGCAGCGTGAAAACACAGTAGTCTTCACCACTACAGGTAAAATTTAAAGATAGAGGTATCCAACCCAGTAGACCAGGTTAAACAGCAGGAAGGATGTAGGAAAAAAGACCCTAGAGTAAGAGTCGAGTTCTAAGATGTCTATGTGAATCCGTCCTCTCCTCCATGAGCCTGATTTACATTCTTCATAACAACAGAAAAAGCTCTGGCAGTCTTTCCCATCTAGGCATTCGTAGACACATGCCTCTTCAAATTCTTGCCAATACATGGCATTGTTCAACGTAATGACTGTAGTTGGTGGTCTCATATCAAGGACAGAATAATTCTGTGGAGAGAAAAAGAAACCAATAAATGATAAACTTGCATGTAGAGTGGAGATGAACATACAGTAATCATCAGAAAAAAAATAGGACATATGAGAGATGAGCTAGAAAAAAATGAATTCAAGAATTCCAGATTTAGAGAGTGTATTTCTTTCCCCAAAGGGCACTTTTTTTTAGATGAATTTCCATAGAGAGATTGTAGAGTGGGAAGTTACATTCATTCTAGATATATTTTCTACTTGGGTACAAGACATATATATGTTAGTGATGATTTTTCATACTTAACTTTTTCATACTGACATACTTAACTGTCAGAATATTATTTGCAACTTGTTTTAAACACTTGAAGCTACTACATTTAAGAGTGGTGTGAGGATAATAATGAAAATATGACCCCAGAGCACTCATACACATCATTTAATTTAGAGATAGACCTTCATTTAGTACAGCTGCATTCATTACCTGTTAACCCTACCATGATTTCCAAAAAAAAAAAAAAAAAAACTGATATAGTTAGCTACAGATGACAGTGATTTCTAGTACAGAACTTCAAAATGACATCCATAGGCATGGCCCATTAATATCTATTACACTAATCACAGAATCACAGAATCACAGAACGGCTGAGGTTGGAAGGAACCTCTGGATATCATCTAGTCCAACCACCCTGCTCAATGATGCTGAAAAATCATGCTCTTGGCACTTTGGTAGCAAGTCTCCTCACAGCTCCACTTAAGCTTATAGACCTCATCTTCTTCAATGACAGAATCACGGAACGGTTGAGGCTGGAAGGGACCTCTAGAGATCATCTCGTCCAACCCCCCTGCTCCTGCAGGGACACCTAGAGCACGTGGCACAGGATTGTATTCAGGTAGGTTTTGAAGATCTCCAGAGAAAGAGATTCTACCACCTCTCTGAGCACCTAGCTCCAGGGCTCTATCACTCTCACAGTAAAGAAGTTCTTCCTCATATGGAGATTGAACTTCCTGTGTCTTAATTTACACCCATTACTCCTTGTCCTGTCACTGGCCACCACCAAGAAGAGCTTGGCCCTATCCTCTTTACATTCTCTCTTCTGGTATTTGTATATATTGATCAGATCTCCTTTCAATCTGCTCTTGTCCAGGCTAAGCAGGCCCAGCTCACTTAGTCTTTCCTCATGAGACAGATGCTCTAGTCCCTTAATCATCTTTGTTGCTCTCCGCTGGACCCTTTCTATAAGTTCCACATCCTCTTGTAATGGGGAGCCCAGAACTGCACCCAGTATTCCAGGCGCGGCCTCACCAGAGCTGATGAGAGGGGGAAGATAAATCACCTCCCTTGACCTGCTGTAAACACTCATCCTGATGCAGGCCACGATCCCACTGGTTTTTTTTGTCACAGGGGCATATTGCTGACTCATGGTTAACTTGTTGTCAACCAGGACTCCCAAATCCCTCTCCGTGGAGCCACTTTCCAGCAGGTCAACCCCTAATCTGTACTGTCAGCTCCATCCCGTTTGGTATCGTCTGCACTCAGTTTTGTATCATCTGCAAACTTGCTGAGGATGTACTCTGTCCCCTCACTCAAGTCACTGATGAAGAAGTTGAACAGTACCAGACCCAGTACTGACCCCTGTAGGACATCACTGGCCACAGGCCTTCAACTAGACTCAGCCCCATTTATCATCACCCTCTGAGCTCTGCCATCCAGCCAGTTCTCAATCCACCCCACTGTCCACTCATCTAACCCACTCTTCCTGAGCTTCCCCATGAGGATGTTATGGGAGAGATGGAGTCACAAGCCTTGCTGAAGCCAAGGTAGATAACATCCACTGCTCTCTCCTCATTCATCCAGTCCGTCATCCCATTGCAGAAGGCTATCAGGTTTGTCAAACATGACTTCCCCTTGCTGAATCCATGCTGACTACTCCTGATCTCCATGCTGACTCCATGCTGACTACCTCCTTTTCCTTGGCATGCCTAGAGATGGTCTCTAGGATGAGCTGTCCCATCACCTTTCCAGGGACAAAGGTGAGGGTGACCGGCCTGTAGTTTCCTGGCTCCTCCCTCTTGCCCTTTCTGAAGACTGGAGTGACGCTTGCTTTCTTCCAGTCCACCTGCACTTCCCCAGTTCTCCATGACCTCTTGAGGATGATGGAGAGCAACTGATCAATAACACCCTCCAGTTCCCTCAGCACTCAGGCGCATCCCATCTAAGCCCATAGATTTATGTGTGTCTAGTTTGCCTAAATAACCTATGACCCAATCCTCCATGACAAGAGGAAAGTTTTCCTCTCTCCAGGTATTGTCTCTTGTGCCTGAGCTCTGTAGTTTATGGAGGCTAGCAGTAAAGACTGATCAAAGAAGGCATTTAGGCTCTTCCTTCTCTGTATCCTCCTTCCCGAAGGCACCCACCCCGTTCAGCAGCAGGCCCACATTTTTGCCTAGTCTTTCTCTTGCTTATGATGTATTTGTGGTAGACCTTCCTACCATCCCTGACATATCTGGGGATAACTGGTTAACTAATTCCAAACGGACCTTGGCCTTCCTTGTTGTATCCCTGCATTTTATGACAATGTTCCTATATTCTCCCCATGTGGTCTGACCCTTCTTCCACATCATATATGCTCTCTTTTTCTCTTTAAGTTTTCCCAAAAAATCCTTGCCCATCCACACAGGTCTCCTGCCCTCCTTACTCGACTTCTTTCTTATAGGAATGCATTGATCCTGAGCTTGGAGGAAGCAGTGCTTGAATATTAACCAGCTCTCCTGAAGTCCTTTCCTTTTGGGACCCTGACCCAGGGGATTCCTCCATGGAGCTTCCTGAAGAGGTCACAGTTAACTCTCTTGAAGTGCAGGGTTGCAATCCTACTTCTTGTCCAGCTCCTTCCTTGCAGGATCGTGAGTTCCAACATCTCATAGTCACTTCAACCAAGAATGCATCTTCACATTTCCAAAGAGACCATTTCTGTTTGTTAGTAGCAGGTCTAGCAGTGCCCCTCTCCTTACTGGTTCATCTACCACCTGCATTCAGAAGTTATCTGTAGTGTTCTTCAGGAACCGTATGGACTGTCTGTTTCTAGCTGTGTGGTCATCCCAGCTGACATCAGGGTGGTTGAAGCACCCCATAAGGACAAGGGCCAGTGATTGGGGGGCTTCTTGCAGCTGCCTGTAGAAGGCCTGATCCACTTCTTCTTCCTGATCAGGTGGCCTGTAGTAAACAATCACCTTTTGGCCTGCCCTTTAATCCTCACTCACAGGCTCTTGATTTGCGCTTAGTCCTCCCCTGTACTGAGCTCCATACATTCCAGTTGCTCTCTTACGTAAAGAACAAATCCACCACCTTGCCTTCCTGGCCTGGCCTTCCTAAAAAGCCTAAAGCCACCCATGGCCATATTCCAGTCACGAGAGCTGTCCCACCATGTCTCAGTAACTGGGATGAGGTCATGGCCCTGTAATTGCACATGCATCTCCAGATCCCCTTGCTTATTCCCCATGCTGTGTACATTTGCATAGAGGCATTTGACTTGGCTCCCAGTATGCCTCTCTTTCTAGCTGGGCCAGCTGTGACTTGCCTATGTGGGCCTTCAGGAGTTCTCATATTTTGCCATTTGCCCTCTCCAGGCGTAGGGCACCTTTCACAGGCTATGGAGCTACATTGCTGTGAGTGGCATGACAGGCCATCGCCTACCCCATAACCTGCTTCCAGGATGATATCCCCCTCCCCCATCAAATCTAGTTTAAAGCCCTCTCGATGAGCCCTGCTAGCTCATGACCAAGGACCCTCTTCCCCCTTTGAGAAAGATGAATCCCACCTGAAATTCTTCAATGAACACCCTATTTGCACTTTGTCAGCTCTTTTCTCACATAACTTTCTCCTTCTCTCACATAACTTTCTTCTCTCACATAACTTTCACTAATGAAAGGTGTTTTACCACAATAGTCTCTCAACAAGCAGCTTGCCTCATCTCCACAAATCATCTCTTCTTCCACTGGGGTCACTAGGACATCTCCATCAGTTTCGCTGTCTGCCTGCATCACTCTGACAAAGCAGACTCCATTCGTGTCAGCATGGTTTGCTCCCCCTCATGACCTCTTCCTCACCTTGTGATTGCTCTGAACATTGACAACTGCCTGCATGAGCACATCTGGTAGCAGACTACAAGCACATCATGTCTAAGGACATGGGATCATCTGCATCATGTCTCAATGTATTCAGGCTTATTGTATAGAATAAGCAACATTTTCTGTTAAAGGTGTAGGGGCACATATGACAACTTTCACTCTCTCAGTGAAACAAATGAGAGAGATGGTTAGTGTGCCTCATGGGAAACTTTTTTTTTTTCTTTTGCTGACTTCACTTCTTTGTACAAGTCCTTTGGTTTGGTGCACAACAGTATTACCTACTTCATTAAACATGCTTGGTCTCTCAGCTAAGAGCTTAAGCTGGGATGCTTCTTCTTGAATGCTGGCATCTATAACACAGGTACTACATCTGAACAAGTCCAGTCAAGTAATTCTAGGGCATAGTTCATCTCATCATAACTAGATAGTTAAAATCTCTCAGGAGCACTGAGTTAGGGAATGCAAATGCTCAAGAGCAGATATAACATGCTCACAGCTCAAGAGCAGATATAACAAACCTACTATTCATGAAGGCCAAAGGGATCCTGGGGTGCATGAAGAAGAGCATCTCCAGCAGGTCGAGGGAGGTGATCCTGCCCCTCTACTCAGCCCTGGTGAGGCCACTTCTAGAGTACTGTGTCCAGTTCTGGGCTCCACAGTATAAGAGGGATGTGGAGCTGCTGGAGAGAGTCCAGCGCAGGGCCACAAGGATGATCAGGGGCCTGGAAAATCTGCCCTATGAGGAGAGGCTGAGGGAGCTGGGTCTGTTCAGCCTGGAGAAGAGAAGACTGAGAGGGGATCTGATCAGTGTCTATAAGGACCTCAAGGGCGGGAGTGAGGAGGGTGGTGCTGGCCTCTTTTCAGTGGTGGCCACTGTCAGAATGAGGGGAAATGGCCACAAACTGAAGCATCAAAAGTTCCACAGGAACTTAAGGAAAAATTTAGTAACAGTGAGGGTGACAGAGCACTGGAACAGGTTGCCAAAAGAGGTTGTGGAGTCTCCTTCTCTGGAGATCTTCAAAACCTGCTTGAACACAGTCCTGTGCCACATGCTCTAGGTGACCCTGCGTGTGCAGGGGGGTTGGACTAGATGACATCTAGAGGTCCCTTCCAACCTTAAGCATTCTATGATTCTATGAATCTTATATCTGAGATTAGATGACACAAACTGTATCCTCATCATCTTCTCTCCCGCTTACACACAAACAAGCTTCAGAGCTTAATAGGTAATTGTAGGTAGCTGGTATCACTCTTTTACAATGTGGTCTTAAAGTGACTAGATACTAGTTGAATTTTGACATTACCTGTTGCATCTAATGAGTCTGGCTGAGATAGGTTTAGGACAAGGATGGTACAAGCACAGTGGCTACCATCTCGGTAGCACTTGAGAGATCTGCTAAGGCAAGGCAATTCTTACATGCTTTGAACAAGGCATTCCAGATCCAGTGTTAAAACAAAATAAAATATAACAATTTCAGGTTAGGAGTGCTTTCTAGGACAAAAATCAACAGGGTGAGAATACCATGGCATTAAATCCTAAACATGAGTTCACTGAAGTTTCACCTTTTAGGGTGGCATCACTACAGGGCTAGCAAAGACAAGCAAGTATCCTGAAAGGGAGAATCACTGTTTATTTTATGTAGCTTCTGCCACAATTTGGACATAGGAATTGCTGATACACAGAGCAAGGTACTGCTCGGTTTAACAGTAGGCACCTTGACCATTGTGTGATTCTGTGAAGAGTGGGAGAAAAACTTGCAAAGGCAGCACGTAATTTATAAGCAGATCAAAATGACTAGATCTAGACAAAGAGCAGGACAGTTAAGCCCTGGTGTCCTTTTAATTATATTAGAATTTTGTTTTTCTTATTTTTTACTGAAGAGGAAACTGCACTACTCCATCAGTGTGCCTTATTAACAAAACAAAAAAGTTTACCCAATAAAAGGCAGCAGTGTGTAAATGTGATGCTTGCTGTTAACCATTTGTTGTCAAGATGCAGACTTTCAATGCTTTATCTACTTTTTAAATACATCATAAAATCCATTTAAAGAAGAGAATTGCATTATTTTAAAAAGATAAGCTAGTAACATTACATTAGCAATTTTAAATGCTAAACTTGGTCAAACTCAAAGCAAGAAATGCCAATGCAGCTCTATCCTAGTTCTTATTTGCAGCTCATCAGCTGGGAAACAGATTATCCAACCTCCTGATTAACCAGACACCTTTGTTTTTTATGTGTATTCTAATTTCAGGTTTCACACAATTTAGAGATGCAGCTGTGTACACAATTTCAACACTGCTTTATTACAGCTATGCACATTTAAATAGTTGTCTGGAAGTTCGGGGAATAGAATTGATTACATTTGTGAATATAGTAATACTAACTGCATTACACTTGGGTGGCTAAATTGTTTGAAAATCCACTGAAAAGTTTGCTAAAGTTTTTACAATATGCTTAAATTAATTACTTTCTACAAAACTCAATTAGAAATCAGTATAAGTTTATGATGTAACTTCTGTTTGTTATGTACTTTTAATGTGCAATGAAAAAATGTAGCATTAGGTAATTCAGATATGTAAAATTTCTGAAATAAAAATAGCACAATATTCTATACTTGACCCTTCTCCCTCTCAAATCATATGATAAGTCCTTATAATAAGAAGCAGCTATGTTCCTCCGCCACAGCAAAAAACAAACTGACCTTTTAACAAAAAAAAGGAAAGCAATATTTATAGAGAAGTCAGAATAAAGCCTGAATAAACATTTCAACTTTGTCATGAATTAATGCAAGTAAATGTCAACCATACGTTTATTCCTCCATGGGTATCGCCGAATAAAATAGTTTACTTACCATCACATGACCAAAACTGACATCAGGTAGCTTAAATGAAAACAACAAAAGAATTATTCAGAAGAAAAGATGCTTAATGCTTTATAAGCACTCAATGTTCAATAGCATTTCTTAAAATAAACTTTTAAATATGTTTGTTTATAAGACACTTTCATACTCAGTATTCTATATATTTAGCATAAAATTTTGTGCAGTTCAAAACTACATGAAATCCCAGAAAAATGTTCACCTAGCTTCTGTCCAGTCCAAATCTATATTCTCCCTATTAATTCTATTTAATTTTTATTAGCTAAGTCATCAACTATTCTTATGTTAGCTTAAATATCATCAGTGTTGTAAGATTTTCTTCATGTTCATTTACACATCCGGAAATACATCCTAATCACAAGTATACTCATGTTTTTTTTCTTTTTCATGTGGTCTTTCTATATAGGATAGCAATTTTAGTTTGATCATTAGATAGTTCATTTTGACAAAAATTTGTTTTGTCGTCACTATTCTCATTTGCCTTTTCTGTGCAATGCACTTCTGCAAATAGCTGTTAGAGATTTAATGGAGTTTTCATTGATTAAGTCTATGGGGTTTTGAGCCTTCTCTAATTTCATATTCATTTAATCTTTTCATCCATTAGTTCTTCATTCAATCCATTTCTACCTCATGATCTATTATATCCTAAGTTTTCTCTCTCTCTCCAATTCCCTTCTTGACATTTCTTCTATTTGGTTTTGTACCTTATGATTTCAAAACTCCCTGTTTCCACCACTGTAAAAACTGGAATACAACATCTCCAGCTATTCAAGCTGGAGTGCTCAAGCTATTCCAGCTATCTCAAATACACCTCCAATTTTGAATGGACAATCCACCAATCCACTTCCTGACTCTTTTCTTGCCCCATTCTTTTTTTAGATTTTTTTCTCTTCAATCCCCAGCCGTTTCTCATGATAACACACATGATTGTCCCAGTCAGTTATGAAGGACAACACATAACTGTTTATACATGAATAATTCAATTGTTTTATTTAAACTGCTTGTGTGTATGTGTATGTGTGTGTTTGTCTTTCTTACTCCTGGAAGTATCTCTGTGTCCAGAGGTTCAGCTTTGTATAAACCTTCTATGCTTTTGTAAGTAATCTTCTATGCTTTTGTACTTGGGAGCATTTGTGCATAGTCCAAAAAACAAGTGCTGGTTGTCAGTGAAGAGAAGGAAATCCCATTTGCAAAATTCATAAGCATTTCTAGATCAGTTAAGCCACAAGATAGCAGATGCTTGAATACACATTAATATGTGCATGCGTAATTTTAGAACAGGCTATGAATGAAACCTGTTTCAGTGGGAGTCTCCATCCTTTATAATTACCAGCGCAGAATTGGAAAGAGACGTAAGCAGGATTGGTGCTTCACGGTGAGCAGCAAACCTCACCTCACAGGTAAACAACTACGCTTACTAGAGGTAGTTATTTCCTATTTGTTTTCGGGGCAGAAAACACCACAGACTGGGAAGAGCTAGGTGGAGCTGAGCATCATGGGATTATGAACTTTATAAAAGCATTCTCTGCTGTCACACACACGTCACACACATGTCAAAAATTAAATAAATAAATGAATAAATAAAAGATCCCCTCCTACCGATTTTTTCTTCTTAGCACAGCTTGGTTTCCTGCAACTCGAGTAGTAGTTGAGGGTTGCATACTCCATCAGAGCAGCAAAGACAAATAGAAAGCACACAGTCACAAACAGATCCATAGCAGTGACGTAGGAGACACGGGGTAATGATTTTCTTGCAATGGTACTCAAAGTTGTCATAGTCAAGACTGTGGTAATGCCTGCAGAGAGAAACTGGATTTAATTGTACACAGTGTCATCTTTGGTAACAAATAAACACAAAAGAGAGGGCCAAAGTCTACCCAGATAATCACAAGAAACTATTTTCATCTGGTAGCATAAAATGTAATGGAAAATGGCATCAATAGAGACAGTACTAACTTGCAAACAAAAATTTCCATTTGCCTTTGCAAAACTGAAATTGCTAGGCTTCTCAATATTCTTTCTGCCACCTCTTCCTTTCTCCAGTCACAGTTAAATTGTATATAAGGATGAAAGACAGGAGAGAATTAAGGCATTTTTAACTAAAAGGTTAAAGCAGGAAAGATAGTAAATCTGGAAAAAAAATCAAAAAATATAAAATACAGAAGGAAACACAGTCTTTTTCACAGTGATACTGCTCTTATGAAAGGAAAAAAAAAAAAAAGACACATTTTGCTGCAACGTTCCTAAGCATAGATTTTCACAATATATTTGCATTATGTTTGCATACTGCTGCCACTTTGGAAGAGCCATTCTACTCTTTTTCCTTCTGAATGAGGAAAAATGGACTCTTGTACGCATTTTGGGAGTTCCTTAATAGAAATACCCCTTTTAATTCATTAAAAGCATCATCATCCTAGATTGATTTAGTAATTATGAATCTACTTGTAGATAAATGTCTATTGGTTGTAGTAGATTTATCTAGTAATAATGAATCTGCTAATAATGAATTACTTGGTGTGAAATATCTTAAAACAATGTAACCAGTGCTAGAGGGAAGTCTATGGGGCATCTGTTATTTGGCTGCAAGAATAGTATATGTCATTTGTATTCATTCCTGAAGAACCAAAGTCTTTTCTCTCCCACTTTTGGATTGATGTTTTTAATCATTCGTTGTGAACTGCTAACCTTTTGGTAGGGAAAAAATGAACAAATCAAAAACTAAAACAACAACAAAAAACATCTCTTCCTTCCTTGGGCAGGAAAATAAAACTCATTCAAGTCTCAGGAGAGAACCTACTCTAAAAACAATATACTTATAAGGTTATTTTTCTTTTTATAGTTAAACTGATATTTTGCAATGGTACTCAGTGTTTGAAATGACATATGACTGAAATTGTGGCTTATAGTAAAATTACTTCTCTCAAACAGCACTCTGGAGAGCAAGAAGTATCTGTGGATTACTTTTGACTATCTTCTCTTTATGAAAGAATGCCCGCCTTTGATCTGTAACATTTGATAGGAACTACAGTGATCCACGAATATCTCTCCCCATTCAATTCTCCTGCAGAAGAGCCAGTAAAAAAAGTATTGCCAAGGTCTAGACCTTCTTTTACAACAAATGACAAATAGTTTTATTCCTCAACTATCCAAATAATTATCCAGAAAATAATTTTAAAAAAATGTCGAAACCCCCCTCATCCCAATAATCAAAAGACTAAAGGAATGCTAGTAAGAAGTGGGAAATGTGCAGCATCTTCCCTTTCATGAGGGAAGATATTCATATTTGACCTCGTCATTAACTAATGTTAGCATTAACCTAACTATTTTTCAATGAAACTGCAGACAAAGGTAGATTCCCTAGCCTCAAGAAGGAATAACTTTACAAGAACTGCATTTGTTTAGATGAAAACACAGACAGAATGATCTAAAGACAAAACAAACAGATTTTTACTTTTATTATTTATACAAAGTCTTTTGATGATATGATATCCAGCATAAAAATTTTATCTGCCATTTGAGAAAACACAGTTTGTTGACTGGATTAAAATGCAATAAACCTTACCAAATGAATTTCTAAATCATTCTGAGAAGACCAGTACCATGAAGAGAATTTCGTATCTGTTTTTGACATTTTCATTGCTTTAGAAAGCATTCTGTTGTTATTTCAACAGAATTTTAATATCAAAGACAGTTTTGAAGTAATCTGTCTTCAAAAATTTTAGCTGCATTGGTGTGAAAATGTATGTGTATGTATAAATACCAGTTTGTGACATTTATTTTCTCTGAGCAGGTTCCATACCAAAGATACTACCAAGATACCAAAGATACATAAATCAAAAAGGGCCGTCCAGGAGACCAAATGATCCAAGGATTCATAATGCATGTTTTAATATTTGGCTTAGACAGTTATTTAAAATTGTTACTGTCTGAAATATTCTTAGTTGAAAACAGTATGCAAAAGGAAATAGCAGGAATAGTGTTAAAAATTCTTTCAGGGAGGCTTAGTTTTTAGTATATTCCTAAGAGTACTGTCTCCAGATAAGGGCGTTATCGTGCTGATGGAATACTGTGGACAGAAGTGTACTGTCTTTGCTTATGATATCACTATGAATAGGCATTTCATTTCTCCACTTTCCTGAGTGCTTTTTTTTTTCTTCCAATGAATGAGCTTACGATGGAATGGCAAGCAAAGCAAAGTTCACCTTCAGTTAACCATCATCTATATCTTCTTTTACAACAACACATTGTTGGGTTTAACACTCACAGAAGTTTAAATTTCCTATATATTAACTGCTTAGACATATAACACTTTAAGTCTATTTCAAAACATAGCAGGAAGCGGGTGAAAACTTCGGTTTATCTTATTTCTCTTCATCTTCAAGGAAAACACCCTATTATTTTCCAAGTCATAACATTTCTTTAGACACTTAACAGCTGCTCTTGACTATGAGCATTGGAAGAAGATGATTTTCACTATCAGAGGCAAGTAGAAACAGCAGAGATATATATTTTCCTGTCTGAATGGAGGGCACTGTAATCTGGGATGGTAAAACACAGTTTTCATCCAACAGACTGTACTGTATTTTCAGTTTCTGACCTACTCTTCAGGTGGCCCAGAGTGAGCCACATTATCAGTTTGGGCCTCAGTCCCTCAAACAGCAGGCAAAAAAAGGAAGTATGGTGCCAACTTTTAAAGAGCACGTTGATGCCTCTAGACAGTGCTGCTGAAAGGATGATTATGGTTCTGGCTTTTCCTTCACAGTCAAAATACCCCTGATTGGATTTAGTTTCTCCAGGACAGAAATAGCTTGTTACTTAGATTTATTCAGAAAAGGGTAAAAACTCGTCCTTCGTATAACCCTGAGTAGTTGCCAATAGCATATTAAATTAATTTCAGAGAGTGAAATGTTTCCCTGATGCTATTTTTTTATATTAATGAAGTTATACTAGGGGCAGGTTTGGTGCTCTGAGCCTGCAATTCAATTCAGCTAATTAGCGGGATGATTTCAGTGGTTTGCCTTTGGCAATATTACTCACAAGTTCGCCATGTGCCACTGTCCAAACGTGGGTGTGGGTGGTGGTGTTCAGACAGATTTGCTGCTTGCTTTATATGAGCAGACCTGCTGCACATGAGGAGCATCTGCTTCCTCCTCCCCAAGGGTCAACAGGCTATTATCAGTTTGGGAGCAACAGGGCTCTGATTGTGCACAGAAAGAAGTGACCAACATGCATTTTCCAGTCATTTGACTTTATTCATAGGAATTTTCATGCAGTATTTGAATTTTTTACCAGATTTTTAGAAGTTAGTCACTCTATCCATTGAAGCTTCTTGTGATAGCTCACTTTTATATTCATACTTCAAATTCATCACCTCAATATAAGCATTGATTCTCTTTAAGTTCCATCTGGCATTTCTGGGACTAGCACTCTAAAATACTTCTGTGTCCAATTAATTGGGAAACTGAGAGGAATGGTGTGAGGAATTCCACTGAGGGACAAATGTATCGATCCTGCTTCTGGAAAGCCAGTAATGCAAACCATTTGATGCTCTTTCCCCCTTTTCACTTTTCTGATGAAAACCAAGCATTATGAAAGATAATCCAAATAGATGCCATGTTATGCTCTGCACACATATAAGGTTTCACATTCCTGTTTTTTTTTTTTTTTTTTTAAAAAAAGCTCTTAATAGAGCATGGCCAATTTTTCCTTATCTCCACTGAGCCACATAATTAGAAAGGAGTCAAGCAGAAAATCACGTTTAAGGCCAATCGTTCAATTTTACAGCCACAAGTGGCAAGTATACACAGCCAGTAGTGGGCAGCCACCCAGCCACTCTGTGGTGCCTTCCCTGCACTGTCCTGGAAGCAGAGTGGGTATCAGTCCTCGGGTTTGTTGTGCTGCCTCAACAACAACATAAAGGCACTTTGGCACTCACAAACTGGGGATAAGCACTGAATATTCCTTTCTCAGAACAGCACTGGGGAAAACTGGTCCCATGGATGCCCGCATGCTTATTTGTCTGACCTGGAAGGGTATTTTGAAAGTCTTATTTGGTGTACAGTTGTTCAGTTCAAAGTTTATCAAAGCAAATGAGCAGAATTAAGAGACCTTATATCAAGAAAAAAAATGGACAGCAGAAGTAGTGCTGTATTTGTTAATCTTGAAAAACTCTAGAAATACAGCAGTTCATTGTCTTCTGCTGACTGGATGCGGAATGGGTTGCAATGTGGAATTATCTGCAAAATGTGGACCAGTATTACCTAAGTATTGATAGCACAAATGGCTGTCACATAGTGTCACTGCTGAAACAAAGCTGTGCCTGGTGAGGGAACTACAGTTACACTTACTATTTTTGGTAACATATTCGGCCAGCATTCAGCTGGAAGTTATTCAACTATTGATTTTCATTAGCAGTCTTACAAAGAAAAATGTTTTTAACCCAGGCTCTGGTGTACTCTGAATAGATAACCATACAGACAATGCATGAGCAAAGGATTTAAAAAGTGAGGTCAGACTTTTAGAAGTTCAGAAAGAGTCCAAGGGCTTTACCAGCTAAAATCTAATTGAAAGTGAATGGACTTCTAACACTTTTTGCACTTTATTTTTCCTTTTCCCTTCGATGCCGTCAGAGGGCTTATGTTAAAATCAGAGAACCCTCAGAAATAGTGGCTGCTCTGATTTATTAGTGCAGGAGAGGAATGGAGAGAAAGGACATGTTATTTTGAACAACCCACTAAAAGCTGCATTGTTGTATAAGGTGCCTTCCTCCTGAGATTAAGTGCAGCACCTTAACATAATATTTGAAAGAAAGCTCAGAGAAATGAATTCACAAAGGAAATAACAGTCATTTCTGGTAAAGATGTCTTATTTATTTGGATGAGAATGGGATGAAGAATGGTGATGACCCTTGAGCAGCTACTTAGGGGAGCGGAAGACAGAAAAGGTTTGCACAAATGAATGGCCTCTCTTATTTTGTGTTTGGATGAAGGCCTTTTGGCATATAGCAGGACCCAAGAATGCTGTGGCAGCTGCAGACTGTATTTGCACATCTTCTAAGATGTAGGTTCCTCATCCTCCAATGTGCAGCAATATCACCCTCTCAAACATGGTGACTCAGTTGCTCTTATGAAATCTCCCTATCTAATTTCAGTTCAGAAAAGTCAGGCAGGTCATTTCAATCCTTCTTTGGTCTTATGACTGAAAAGATTTAGAGGGTTCAGCCAATTGACTGAAAGTCTGAAAGTCTGATGGGAAAGAACAGTGAATATCTGGGAATGCTTACTTCTACACTTGGCAGCAGGCATGTTAACTTTGACTCAGCTTCCCCTTCTTCTTGGGCAGTAGGTTTCTGAACTTGTTCATATTTGCAACTCTGGCAACATGGTCTAGACTAAAATATTGTTTTCCCTTCAGTTCTGAGGAACATCTATAATCATGTGTTAGGTTGCCCTTGATTCTGGCAAAAGCTACAGATTTTCCTATAGACAGCAGAATAAATGGTCAAAATTACTGAGCCTGTCATAAAGTACAAGGCTGAAATCCACTCATTGGTCCTGAAATAAATAACCTGCCAAAAAACCTTTACCAGGATAAATCCTACAATGTATTGAAAAACAATTGATTAATTATACATTTAGTGTCGAGATTAACTTTAAGTGAACAAGCTCGAAGCACTTTGGAAGACTTAATGTTATCATATTCTGCACTTTTCAGTATACACAGTGCATAACAAAAGATAGTTTCAGAAAGAAAGGAAGGCACAGTGCAATGCATTTATTCTTCAAACATGTCTTTAAAATATTATAGTGAGATCAAGAAGAGAGCCATTAATTCTAGAATGCTATGCAAAATAGGTGGCAGTGTCATTCCAAAGGGTCATGGTAGTTCACTTATAATTATCATGTTAAGGAAAGAATACCAAAGTCTCTGTGATAAGTAGACTTGGGCCTGCAAGATGTGGGAGTATTAATCTAAAGTATGTATCTAGTGGCCTTTTTGAAAGGAAGCTGACATTTTCAAATGGCAGTGTAGGGTCTACACAAAGAGAGCTGAAAGGGAGTTATAAAAAAAAACTTACCTAATGCTGTTCTTGCTGGTGTGGCATCTTTCTTAATCCAAAAGGATACCCAGGAAAGAACAACTGTTAATATACAGGGAATGTATGTTTGGATAGTGAAGTATCCCATTCTTCTACTTAAATCAAAGTATATAGTCATGACTATATAATCACCTGTAATAAAGCAAAGAAAATGAAAATTCATATTGAAGTAAGATACAGACAATAATTCACTGAGCTGCTGATTTTTAAGCTTCACAAACATACTGCATATGAAATACCTCTTGGGGTTTTGAAAGCATCAGCAGAGCTCACATAAAATAAAAGTTAAGTAAACCTTTTCATTCTCATGGAATTCCTTCAGCTTTAGATCTTTGCAGAAATGTTGACCTATTTGGATAACAGCAGGCAGGGGCTCTCAGGAATCATTCTTGACTATTTTTTAAAATTTTTTCTAAATTTTCTAAATTTTTAGCTTTCCAGACTCAGTACTTCTAGGTGTCTCCGTGGCTACAAACACAAAGCTACCATTATTCACCAGATTCTGTAACCAATTTACACAAATCCCTTTCCTCCAACAGAGTGTGCCTTCCTCACTCTTACTTTAAGTGTGAGTGACTTCAACTTTCCTCTTTCAAGATATGAACCAGGTGGTAGGGGCTCTTTCTGACAGGTGAAGTGTGTGCATGCCTACCATGACATGAAAAGTCATTTACGGACTCAGTATAGGAGCAAGAGAGCAGACTGCACACTTTGGAAGGTGTCACCACTAAAAATAAAGAGTTTGTTTCTGTCAACATTCCCCTTTTTCCAAACAGTAATGGTTCATTCTAGTGTCTGCAAACAATCAGAAGATGAATCTGGAAATAAACCAGATAAACCAGATAAATAAACCACTATTCTGCTGAATACTAGAATTCATAATATCAAGGGCTCTGTAAGAAGGCAGCTTAATTACACATTATACAATCTTTTTCACAGTATCTCTACTGTTCATCAGTGTGTCTCTGCAGTGGATAATACCCTGTCCCTCTTTCTTTCTCTACTCGGTAGAGTCTTACAGCCTTATCACCCCTGTCTTTACTCACAGGTGTTCCTCTGCTTCACAGGTGTTAACTATCCTTTTCTCTCAGACAGTCACAGTGATTAATGATAATGAGATTGAGCCTAGAACAATTTCTGTACTTATCTTTAAGTTTGTTGCTTACATTTCAGATGTGAAGAACTTATATGTCTGATTTTTTTTTCTCTTTCTTCCCCTTTTTCTTTGTCTGACTACATTACTTTGTCTAATATATTACATTGCTTCTCCTTGCTTTTCTAGAATGGATATTTGCACCACTGATGATTTGAAATAGGTAGACAAATCTTTCCAGTTGCAGTAAACTACCAAAGACTGAAGAAATTAGGAGCACAGAGGGATTAATCCCCAAAGGTATTTACATATGACTCTCTCAAATAGAAATATAATGAGTTCATTAGGAGTTGAAAAAATACAGTTAATCTTCAATAACAGAAAGCATAAGAACAAAACCATTGAATACAGTGCGTATTTTGACGATAGCTTAAGATTTCGTAGAAAATATATTAATTCAGTAAAATAACTTTCACCCAAATTCTCTCTGAAGAATACTATAAAATGAGTGAACTGACAAAAGCTGTAAAGTCAAGAATAAATAAAAGTCTGGGGATTGTACTTGGTAAGAGAAATTTAGAACATAAAACTTTCTATGCCTAAATACATCACTCAGACAGCTAGTAGGAAAAAGGTGGATATGCCAGTGGGCATATTCATGAGTGTTGCACCAGTGAAGAACATGGATCTGGGGAAACTGGATAGTGGTTCCAAAAGCACTGTTTATTTCACATATAGGGTTAGAACTTTAATGAAAGAGCTTGCTGCCACTGCAAGTATGAAGCACTGTTAAAAGCACTTGCACTGTGTACTGAGCCTTGCGGGATGTTCATACACAGCATGCTACTTTTACTCCACTCTTATTCCCCAGCATTTTTCTCTGTGCGGGAATGGGATCAGGGAACTGATGTGGGTTAATAAAACATTAGGTTTAGTTTTAAACTACATCAGTTCCCTAACCTGGTTCACTGATATAACCTGATAACCTGAGAGCTGGAGAAAATTATGAAGCATTTCACCTGTTTTGCAGACAGGAACTGAGGGCAGAGATTAAATGGAAAGTGGAAATGGACATGGAAGTGCCAGCATATTTAGTCAGAAACTGATTTGATATCTTCCAGGGACAGGAGTAATTTTAGACATCTGTAAGGCAGATTGTATGGACGATTGAGTCATCGTGACTCCTTTTATAATTAATATTAAGTAATTTTAATATTTTTTTTCCTGTTCTGTTTTAAAAGTTCACTTTAGAAGATGGTGAATGTGCCCACAACATTTCCATTTCTATCCAGGGATTAAAAAAGGAGTGGCTAGCTTGGACAGGGACAGGTAACACTGTAAGCACAGATCATCCAGTGAATCAATCACACCCCTTGATCCCTGGATGAAAGCTTCTTCATAAAGATGTGCTACTTCTTTGAGGATTATCTAATCAAATTATAATAATCTTTTTGTTTTAAAAGTGTATTTTAACTAATTTCTTTTTTTTTAATTTTATTTCATTGTTAATCTTGGAGGACCTGTGCAACTTCTCTGCTTACTCTTCTGTCTCCTCCACTTTTCTCTTCTCCTCTTCCTTTCCCTGCTCTTAATCTGTCTTTATTACAACATAACTTATCATTTTCGCTTTATCCTAATTAAAATTTATCAAGACATCCCTTCTTTTCCAGAACGTCTTTCCAGATAGATAAATACGGGAAATGTGACTTTGCTGAATTTTACAGGGCACTGCAAATTCCCAACAAAGACTCATAGAAGTCAAACAGATATACAGAGAACATGAAATGCTAGAAGAATGATAGATTTCCTTCATTTGTTCACCTATTTTTATTGTCTAGATTACAGACAAAATCCTCATAGTTTGAAAAGGAGGCCCAATCTTAGGAGCAGCAGCTGTGCATAGGAATTTATGTATTATACCTTCTGTACTGTTTTCTAATTTAGAGGAATGTACTGACAGATTATATACCAATAGATTGAGAGAACAATTACGTTCAATAGAATTACTGGTGCAAAGCAGACATAAGAGGAGAATTAGCTGGCTGTCCTACAGTATTGTAATGGTGATTAGAGAGAAGCATCTCAGAGACTATGAATACTGATGACAATACTTATTAGCAGGAGGAAATCACCTCTGCTGAAACACAATGCCCAAACTGAAAGCACAAACTTTGGGATTGCTGTAAAAAGGCAGGCATTTTCCTGTACAGCATGTATTAGCTGTATTTTTTAATAGCTACAGTAAATTAAGATATGCAGCTAAAGGACACTTTGGTTCTTTTATTTTCAACTAAGTCAACTTCTCTTGAGACTCTTGTGTTGTCTCTTTGCTTAGAGAAGGTCAGGAATGAATGTACTGTGGCTACTTTCTTTTGATACAGAGCTGCAAACTGCATTGCTATTATTGTTATTAAAGTCTACATTATTCCCTCCAGAAGTCTGCATTATTCTCTATGTATCTAAAAGCACTTGCCTGCAGTCTGAAAGAGTGCATCAAGGAAAGCAGCCATGGTATTTACATTTCTGACTTTCTCTACACACACAAAACAAAATTTGACAGAAACTTAATGTTCACGGACAACTAATATGCAAACCTTCGAATCTCTCCTCTCTGCTCATAAGTCTGATAGATATTTCATCCTGTATGTCCTGCAGGCACAAGAAGCCAAAGGAGGGAAAGA